AGTTTGTGTCTGCCGATCAATTCAACCGGCCAATCAGAAAGGCGGCCAGTTTGATGGCCAATTACACCACCGTTTACTTCTATGAGTTTGGGTATCAGGGAACGGTTTCAGCAGATGGAGATCGAGAGTACGAAGGCAAGTTGAGTGATTTGAAATGTTTTCAGTTGCTAACATCAAATAATCTTGCAGGTACTGGCCATGCAGAAGACCTCAGCTACTACTTTGTGGCTGATTCCAACTATACAGCAACTGACCTGAAAGTGTCGGAGACGATGGTTCTTTTGTGGTCAAACTTTGCAAAATATGGGTATGAACCCGAAGAGCGTTGAGTGGCAATCAGAAATTGGCCATTTTTTGGTGCTTTCAGAAATCCTACTCCTGAAGAAGACGAAAAGTTCAACAACACCATATGGGAGCCGATCGATTCCACTGACTCTGATCTGATCTATCTTTCCTTCAACGAGTCCATCGTGATGGCCACCAACCCGAAACAGGCTGATTGGGAGTATTATGAGCGAGTGTATGCCAAGTATGGGGACGATTCCGATGAAATTACGACTTATTAGATAAGGCAATAATGTTTAGTTAATAAAAGCTATTTTTTAACTCATTCCTTCGTAAAGTTTAAAAATTCAGTAACTGCTAAATTGGGTAACGTAAGAAGTCAAAATTGGGAGAAGAACTTTATGGAAATCCCCTCAAATGAGCTTCAGAACTGATCTTGCGCAGCCTTTTAAAGCCAATACTTGGAAGAATAAAAAAAGCCCAGCTAAGAGACCAATTCTCAGGCAACAGTGTCTTCAGATCCTAACATGTGATCAAATTTGACCACTTTTGTCCCAACTTGTAACTCTTGCGGTTTAGAAGATGGCTAGAGAGTGGCTTCGAGTCAAAGTAGTAAAACAAAATGATTCCTGGGAAAAAATATACCCACTTAAACCAACTTACCAGTTGAGGTCAAAAGTTTACGGCTGTGGATATGTAGACAGCGTCAAATGTCTAATTTTTCAGTTTTTGTTGGACTACGGAGCTGAATGTTTTAACTAAATTTGTTATACAGGCGTTCTTAGGCATCAAAAATGCAAACATCTTATCGGATTTTGAAAACTCGTCGGAAACCCACAGGAACTGGGATTTCTCAGAACAGAGGAAGGATTTTTCACTCCTAATCAAGAGAAAGACGCTCTGGTTCGTGCTGGAGAAAATCGAGAAATAAGCGCAAGTCGAATATAAACTGCAACTAACGTAAACTGGTCTTCAGTTTACTTTAACTATAGTTTTATGCCACTACAGAATTTAATAGAGGACAATCTACCAGAAAAAGTGCAATTTGCTCATGTTCTTCGTCTCCAAAGCACGGTTTTGACCATCTTTTGAAGCAACTTTTGCCGATGAAAATACATTTTAAAGAAAATTTGTTTATAATATTAGAAACAATCATTCACGGAATGTTGCAAACCCTCATTCAGTAGGTAACTGAGTATCATTTCCAACATGAGTATAAAATTAATGTGTGGTGCGGATTAATGGATTTCTTATGGTCAAGATCCCCTGTTAGGAAATTTCCTTATAACGTTCAGCTCAGTTCAAAGTTGAATAACTAAAAACTGAAATGGAAATGTAAGTTTGAGGCCCTATATCCACAACCGTCAACTTTTTTATTATTTTCATTCTAGAAACTAAAACTCCATGCTTCTCTCAGCATAAATATATTAACCTACATTTCTATTAAGTCAAAGGCAAAAACATTATCACTCGTGTCTCACTCTTGAAAATGTGATTTAAATGTACAAATATCACTTTTTTAAAAATGTGCCATTAAACAGCGCTTCACCAGATTCGACACTTTTTCCTCTCTGGGTTCATTTTGCTGTTCTTCGGACACTGGAAAGCCTTCGCAAAGTCCAAGGAGTTCTGTAGAGTCCCAACCACTCTAACCGAGTTAGGACAATGCTCATCGTGCTCCAGCTGAACTTTCAGGTCTTCCATTGACAAAGTCTCGCACCAAATCTATAAATCATCAATTCATTCAATTCAATTGGTCTGCTTGGGTTTCCTTACACTTCCGTAAGCAATAAAAAACATCTGATCGCTGGAATATTGCTCAAACCCTGGCAGTTTCGGCTCATCTCCGTTTTTCTGAATATATCGCTGGTAGGCTGTGTAGGCCTGGTTGAGGCCTCCATTGTCTGCCAGATTTTCTCCCAGTGTCATTTTCCCTTTCACCTGAAAATTACACGATTCAATGTGCATTTCGCCAAAAAACCAGCAGCTTTTACGTGTCCGGCAATGCCCTTTAGGGTATAGTTGTCGTATTGGTTAACAAAGCATTTGGTCATTTCCTCGAAGGTTTCTATAGTCTTATTGGACCACCACTGGATATAGTTGCCGTATTTGTCCATCTTCCTGCCTGGAGAGTAATAAATTAGAGAAGAGCGGGTTTTAAATACATACATATAATAATAGGAATATGGGCTAGTAATCATTTTCCTATTCAAATGTTTATTGCCTGCGTTTTATCTATTTTAAATGAGAAAAGTTCAGTCAGTTTTTCAACATACACCCAATTTTTTCGATTGACTGTCTATATTTCTTAAGGTCACATACCGGCATTATCAAATCCATGGGTGAACTCGTGGCCTAAAATAGCTCCAATCGATCCATAGTTCAACACCCTGGAAAAAACTAGCCATTAATATTTAAACATTCGGTTGAAAATGGGGTTGTTTATTCGGACTATTTACGATTCCCCCAATATTAGTTTAACGACTACTTACTCTAATCCCAGGTCGTAAAGGGGAAAATTCAGAATTGCCATTGGTATATCTAGAAGCCAAAAAGAAACAGTTTAAGACTAGTTGGGGGGTTTTGTTAATATCATTACTTATGGCGTTATCCTGAAATGAATTGTAGGCATTCACTACTGTCGCTTCAGTGCTCCAATCCCGAGGATTTGGTAGACGCAAAGAAGTCAGTGTTTCTATTGAATATTGCATGATAATGCTGACCATGTTGCTCAAGTACGTGGTCTCATTAATTTCCAGCTAAAAATCATTTTTAGCGCCAAAATAATTCTACTTTTAATCCGCTTTTACCCCCCAGTACTTTCTGTCCAAGGCCCCTTCTTGGAACAACCAATCAGGATATCCAATGAAGCTGAGCATTTCTTCGCTCTTTTCTAAAGTGACTTTTTTGGTATCAGCGTCCATCCACCTTATGCCTCGGACATGGTCAATAAATGCAACCTTGATATCGCTTATCATTTTTTCCACCTAAATCTAATCCATTAGAAGCAGTTAGGCTACACGAAAATCCACTTACTTTGGGCTTGGTTTTGTTAGCAAACGTTTTATCAGCCACAGCATAGCTTACAGCCCATCCCATGTACTTGTTAACAAGATCACAGCAATCTAATGATCTGAAAGTGTCTAATGATGGTTAATTGAGATTTACTGGTTTTATTACCATTTTCATTTTGATTCTGGCGAAAGCTTCTGAGCCGACGTTCGTCACCTACCTCGACCGGGTGTAAAGCGGATCATCTTCTGATCCGCTACTAGCATAAAATATGGCTGTCTGCTTCACAATATAAGAAGTTAGATCAGAAGAAGTGTTTATGATCATTGCATATACTGCAGACCACCACATGTAGAGCTCAATGTGCATTTGGGGCTCACTGAAGCCAACAAAGTCAAACTGAAGAGGACACTGGATATTTCAAATTAATCTCTCACCTGGAGACATAGTCCAAAACATTCCACAAATAGCCCAGCTCGGTTTCGGTAATGAGAAACGCATCAGAATGAGGATCAATTGTAACATTGGTGGTCTCGAATAAGCTGCTGATGTAGTTGATCCAGAAATCGGGCATGGGCTTTCTTACGTTGGAATCTGTGAGATTTTGAAGCTTCTGAAATGAAATTCTGCGAGTTTCATCCTCTCCATAATCTCCTTCTGGGAGCGTGAAGTTTTCCTGCAGCTAAACGTTGAAAAAGCAGCAATGTGAAGGTTTCTTTGGACAGGAGTTTTAAGCCTTACGTTGTCCATGTAGGCAGTGATATTGTTGATGATGTCAGCGGCCTTTTGAAGGTCGTTTTCTTCCGCCACTTCCTGACTGGTGTTTCCCATTATGTACTTGGTGACGTGTTTGAAAATGTCGCTGCGGATTTTTCTTCGTAGTGCCTCACGCGCGTCCCCTGATTCCTCGTCTTCCATTGGCTCCAAAGCGGATCTAGCCTTTCTTTGCTTGCTGAGCCAACGATTGTTCTTTAAGGGACTAAATCAATTATATTAAGTAAGAGCAATGTTCATTTGTCATCCGGATCTCCTCCAAGCAAAATAAGACTGCAACTTGCCTTGGCAAAGGACAACTTTGGTACAACACTCCCATGTACATAACGTTCTCATTTCTCCGGTAGAGGTTGGGTTGTACTGTGAAGCCAATGAACACGTCCATGGCAAGAACAAGTTTCAGCAGAATCTCCGACTTTATCCAGTCGAACTGGCCGGATGAAGGAGTTTGATTGAAGAAGCTGGGAACCAGAGGTAAATTGGTCAGCGATAGCACGTCGTAGAGAGGGTTCAAGCCCAGATGGTCTAAGGCATCTGTTCAAAAAAAACATACAGTTTGGCAGAGAATATCCGCAAATTAACCGCTAAAGTGATCAGGAGTACCTGTGGCCAGGCAGGATTCATAAAGCTTCTTGGCCTGAGCCACAGCAGTCGGTTCTCCGTCTTTAACGCCTTCCCCCAGCACCTCCATGGCCTCAATGGCAATTTTCTCCGTTACAGTAGTGAAAGTGGAAAAGCCGGAGTACCACCCATGGTTGGGATGCCCTTGCGACCATTTTCCACAGCAGAACTGATAGAAATCATCGCAAGGGTCCGCGCTAAAGTTAATCGAATATTTGAAATTGGCCGCAGAACGAATGCATTCTGAGCTGGTGCAGATTGACGGTGGATTCCATTTGGAACCTGCGGACATCGTGTGATAGTGAGTGAGTGAACTTTTACTTCCAAATCTACTCACGGGAAGTTAGAATGATGATTAAAACTAGCAGAAGGAGAATGGCCAAAGCAGCAAGCAGGAAGGTGGATCTTCGATAGTACAGCAGCTTTTTCGAGCTGGAATCCAGAAAAAAATAGACGTTGCTCTATCCAGTTAGACCACAGGCTTACGGTTTAAATCGCGAATTGATTTCGACGAGAAAATCGTTGACATTTGCCTGCTTTGTCCCAGCGCTGCCCCCTGAAAGTTCATCAATAAAGGAGGTTCTCGATTGTTCAACCACTTACTGGAAATGGTGAAAGCATGGCCGTTGTTTTCACTTTCAGGCACGTATCCCAGATTGTCCATTATCTCCACTTCAATAGCCGAAATCACTTTGACACGTATTTTTTAAGCAGGTGTTTTATCTCAACTAATAGACAACCACGACTAGCTAATCGGCCGGTAAATGATGGGAAATCGAGAACTTTTCCGCCGCGTCTACCCCATTCCAATGGAACTTCGTTCACCCGATGGAAATTCCGACCGAATGGAAATTCAATTGTTTGTGTCTTATAGAATCGTCGGCGTCCTTCATGTGTGGACGTTGAGGAGTTTTCGTCGGTCACCTGCGCTTTTTCTTCCCGATTTTTTAATGGCAAAAAAGTATTATGAGGTTAACAGTGTTTCTATTGGATTTATGTCTCTGGGTTCTTTCAGTTGCTAGTTATGGTAATGTGACCTCAAAGGCGTCATTTTATTTGCGCTAAACTGGAAAAACTCTTACAAGGATCAACAAGGATCGATCAACCGGCATAATCGATGATCTGAATTAATAATGCAAACGATGCCCATGTGCAGGAAACTAATGGCTATTGTAGTTAATTCGGACACATTGTGGACATGAACAGTTGATTAGTATGTGGCATTCGCACAGCCTTTACCGACTAACCCACCCATAATAGGTGTGACGGAAAATTAGATACCGGTGGTTTAATAAGATGTGACAGCAACTGAAGCTGAACAGAGGACTTTTGCATTTTCAATTACTTTTTTAGTGTTGATAAATTGATAAATAATCAGGCATTTCGGCAGTTTTGAGTTGTTGCACTGACTTTTAATCAAGTCACATTATACAAAGCAAACGCTGCCTACATTTGCAAGGTGCTCCAAATGTTTTTTTTTGGACACCTCATATATATTTTTAGAAAATTATGGAGTTTTCTTGTTATGGATGATGTTTCGGAAATCTTCCGCTACGCGAGCTGACGTTCGATGGTGTTGATACAATAGTGCTCTGAAAAATGATACAAAGGCTGATTCTTTTTACATTTGATGCAAACTTGACTTATTTCTGCAGTAGGTAATTACATTTTATAGAAGGATTTTTATCGGGTAAATCCATTGCAAATGCATATTTTCCAATTTTCTTTCTGAACATCCATCATTATTTTCTTATTTTCAGAGTTTAATTGTTGAAAAAAATTGTGAAAAAAGTATCGATTGGCTTATCGCAAAGCTTTCAGCAGCTGTAAAATATATTTTGTGAACTTTCAGAAGATCTTCTGCAGTTGCACAGTGAATCCTTAAATATCGTTGTTTATATAGGAATTGTTTGCTAAATCAAGGAGTTATTGATTGGCAGATTTTCCAAAAAGTGTTCCACCTCATGATTTTATGGAAATTTTTCATAACAATTTCCACAAAATAATTGAAAACTTAGGAATCAAAGACGGATAGTTGCGCCGCTTTCTATTTGAAATAGTCTATGTTCTATAAACAGAAAAGATCTCAAAAAAGTATAATTTCTCTATTTTCAAATTTCAGTTATTCTTCAAGCATGTTCTAAGCAACGATTTACTAAAAAACACTTAATTATTTCTAAAAACGAAATTAGGTAGAAAGTCGGGGTTCTGCTAATCTACAGGGTGTTTTTTTAGTGCGAGAGCGTCCCTTATTTCCGTTGGTAATTTTTTTTATATGATACAGACTAGTGACTCAGAAAAGCGAGGCAAGAAGTCCATCAAATTTTGACACTTATTTATTGAATTCCATACTTACACCATGTAATATGTAACAACTTTTTGAAATTTTTAAATTAAATAAATTATACTTTAAAAACGGTTGATTTCACAGCTTAAAGTGTAAATGCAAATTTGTAACTTTTTAAATTGTCTATCTAATGATGTATTAATATACAGGTACTTCCATTTGAAAACCAAAAGTTATATTGCGTTAAAAAGTTGTCGATTTAAGTCAACATTGTTAACACCCTGTACAATATTGTACATTGTATTGATATTTTGGTTCAATAGAATTCTTAACAGGTTTGTGGCGATTGGAAAGACGTATATTTTTGTCTCTTTAACTGCTTTTTTTGCTTCCACAATGAATTTTAAGATACCATGTTTTTAAGGTAAAATTTTATTAAAATGGCGATAATTTGCCAACGTCGTAAGTAAGAAAAAAACAATTTACGATGCATATGCAGCGTTTGAAGCTGTATTTCATGAACTAATAAAAAATGGGTAGTTCTATTTTTAACAAAATAGACTTTGATCTTGCCTCGCTTTCCTGGGGCACTCTGTACCATATAAAATATTTTTAAAATGTGCGCACTTTGTGAGTCAACAACTTTTATATGAAACTATTTTTCTAAAGTTTAACACCAACGGAAATAATGGACTCCATCGCACGCAAGTGCTCCAAGCATCGCATGTAAGTTCAGCTGTATGAGCCGAGGAAGCTTCAAGAAATTTTGCTAATTCAAACATGTCTAGAAATATTGCTAACTTAAACCATGTTTTCAATGAATTTCCTGAAAATTTGCACGAAACAATTAAATAAAAATTTTAAAAACCTTAAAGGTCTTAAAAACCAATAAAGATGTTTTCTTTCTTCTATTGGAAACAGCCTAATATGTATGAGGATAAAAGATCTGAACAAGAATTTCCGCCTCCCGAACTTTCGAATAACAATTATTTTCCTGATAACGAATATCGGTACAAACTCGAAGTCTCGCTGGTCTAGTACGTCCAGTTGGATGAGCGGAAGAATCTTCAAAAAATTAATCATTTTTAATCCAAAATCATAATTAAATAAGTCGGAATTAAAATTTTTTAAAACAATTTTTAATTAATACAATTTATAAAGTGAGTGTCAAATAATAGAGTAACAACAATCTACTTATAAATGAAAATTAAGTCTAAACGCTTGTCCTCTGGGCGGCGGTATTTATAGGGGGTTGTTATCTAAATGGCTAATCGGGTATCAAGGCCCAAGTTTCTTAATTCCTCTCCCCTTAAAACTCAAGCTAGAAACTTTTTGTTCGGACGTGGCTTCAGGAACAAAGCGTGGATTCAATTCCGTTTGTAGATGCAAAAACTACAAGTAATTAGAGTAATCAAGCATACTATTGAGAACGAAGTCAATGAAATGTAATAGTGGATTGGCACATCCTCGGTTACAGCTTCCAGACTGTGTCCTATTGGAATTGGTACGTCTTGGAGTTTCAATTTTTACTGAAATTCCACCGATGTTTCCTTCTGGTCAGGAATGGTAAATTCTTGAGTTTGCAGGCAATTGGCAGGCATAACGTAGATTTGGCAGTTCTTTGGAGAGGGGCAATGTTCTGCCTGTGGGATTGTCCTACTAATCGTTGTTTGTTCCAGAGATGTGTAGGATTAATCTTTTACTTCGGTCTAGACAAAAGAACATGTTTTCCGTTGTTGCAGGTTGCATCGCTCGCTCTTGGGGTATTGGCAAACATATCTTCTTTCTTCTAAATGCCAGCTGTGAGAATACCACTTTCCATTTGAATAGTACCTGGTAGGTGCTAGGAGCAGTGTTGCATTTTCATTTGGAATAGGAAATATCTGATACAATTTATATTCAAATCTACTAAAAACTGGAACTTTCAAAATCATTTTTAATTCTGAATTCTGCATATAGATATGTAATTAATTCGGATTGTTCTAAAAATGTATAAGGGTGTTTATCTGAATGAATTATTTGCCTCTTATCGTACTTTTTCAGTGATGTTTCTTTAAGAGAATTTATTTGGTAAATATCAACTAATTCTATATTCAGTATATTAGCCTTTGATAGGGAAATTGTCATTAATATTTTTTTAATGAAACCCAAGATTAACTCGTGCCAACTTAAAAAAGGTGGCAGGACTTCCATGGATGAGAATTGCTCAGAATAGAACAAAATGGAAAGAACTAAGGGAGGCCTATGTCCAATTCTGGACGAAGAAGCTCTAGAAGAAGAAGATATGTTTTTCTAAAACCATTTTTAATCAATTATTTCCATATGGACCTTGTCGGACAGCTAATCTTTGAGCGAAAAATCGTCGATTACTAACAAAATTTTGACCTGATTAGTTATTACCACCTGTAGCAGTCTCACGGGTATTTATAAAACCTCCAGAACAATTGCAAATATTTCGAGAGGATTGTTTGCGCAAAATGACGAGCAACTAAAGACTGATTCGACGATTTTAGGAATTTTATCAATAAAATATAATTAATTATCTATTAAAGTACGTGTGGCATATCTGTTTCACGTGAACGTGCAGGTCTCGTGAAAGAAACGACGCACGTGATTTTAAAAAAGTGCAAAAAACAAAAAATTCCTAATTTCATTTTATTTAAAAAAATAGTTCAACTAATCCTCACGTGATTTATGTAATGATACGCCCTATATTTGAAGAATTCGCAATATATCCAAAAATCCAAAATGTTTTTTTTCTTGTGGGGCTTATCTATAATAGTCGATGGATCGGTTGATAACAAGACGAGTTCCTATATAAACCTCAAGAGTTTGAAGGCAAGTTAGCCGTTCAGCAATGTACCGTCTCGTGCTCTTAGTGATCCTGTCCATCTTGGGTTCTTTGGTGGTTGTTGATGGTCGACGACCTCCACCCCGACCAACTCCACCTCCATCATCTGATGATGACACTCTGCTGTTGGTTCACACTGTAAGTATGCAACTTAAAAGAAAATCAATGTAATTTGTAGATTTTCAAAAAATAAACCGGAATTCTTATCGAGGCGCTAAACTATTTTTCAAACAAGGAGAGCTCGGCATTCTAAGCTGAGAAAATTTGAAAATATATTTCCGAATTTTTTCTTATTGCAAAAAGTACGTTTTGCTCTATGAGCTGAGGAAGTTTCAAGAACTTTTACGGAATTTAGAAATAGGAAATTTCCTGGAGATTTTCAAATTTGAGCTCTGTTTTCAATAAATATCCTAAAAACCGCCAAAAAAAATCGTTTTAAGAACTGAGAAGGTTATAGAAAATTGTAATTGGTATTTGCAGAATAGGAGCCCCAGGCATATTTTCAAGTGAATTCTCCGAATTTTTTTATTCAAAAAAGGTTATCAAAAAGATCTGAAAAAATGGTGATGTTTTTGCGAATTTTTAAATTTTGAGTGTTATTCCAAACAACTTCCCCAAAATAATGAATTTCTTAAATATCAAATCTCTAAAGTATGTAGGCATTTATTCTATTCCAAAGATTAAGCTCTGTTTGATAAGCAGAGAAAGCTTGAATAAAATTTTGAGACTTGACAGTTTCTTGGAAAATTTGCGATTCAAAAATACTCGAACTGCTCTATTAGCTAACGAGGTTTCAAAAAATGGTCTCAATTCAGGAATTTTTGTGAAATTCTAAACCTGAGACATATTTCCGAGCCATATCCGTTATAAGTTCCGTAAAATTATTACTTTCTTCAAAATTAAAATAGGTACAATGTCGTTCTTTATTCGTTTATACAGAACAGATTCGACTCTATACTGTGGAGAGATCAGATAAAATTCTGCTAACGCATATAATTTCTGGAAACTTTCAAACTTGAGCGATGGGTTTCATCAATTTCCTAATAGCTGCCACAAAAAAATTGGCTTGATAACGAAATCAGACAAAAAATGGCACTTTCTAATATTCAAAAGAGCACATTTCACGCATTAAACTGGCAAGCTTTTGCAAAATTATCCTCATAAAAATGTTGTCTATGTTTTCCAGTCATAATCTAAACATCTTCTTTAAAATAAAAAAAAAACTGTTTGTTTCTGTTCTATAAATATATAAACTGGAAAAAAATCTCACCATATCAAGAATGTCATGAACATTTATAAACTTGATCAAGTTTTCGCTCGAATTCTAAACAATTTGCACAAAATCTTTTTTTGAACCAAAACAATTTCAAGCTCAAACGTATTCCGTCCGAAAGAGCACATTTTACTTTATGAGATAAGGGAGTTTTAAATAATACTCCGGCATTAGGAATTTAGTGGCTGTTTTAAAAAGATCAAAAGATTTTAGATCAAAATACATACAAAGCAAGTATTTTTTCGAAAGCAAGAGCACAGTTTGCTCTATTAGTTTATGAGCTTTTATACTGGATCCCACATCTGGAGTTTAACAAATCTGTAAAATTAAGCTCTATATGCTATCGGTCTTCACACATAATACCTAATTATTTTCTTAAAAACCCAAAAAATATATAGTCTTTCGATTCAACAGAACACATTTTGTTTTAGAATATGAAAAATAAAAAAAGCATATCCTTATTCAGGAAGGCGTTGAAAATGTGTAAGCCTAAACCAATTTCTCTCTCGGGATTTTAAACAATTTTCAACAAAATTAATTCACGCTCAGGCTTTTTATATTTGGAAGCCTAAATTCAGGAAATTGTTTAAACTGTGCTCCTTTGGGTCTAGAAACAAGTTTCGAAACCGCGTTTTCTAATTTCAATTCAACCGATATTTGCATCGCTTTTCATGCACTTTGTCGTCCATTCCAGCTCTTCAGGCATGGAAACCGAACGCCCAACTCCAAGGTCTACAGCAGCAACCCCATTTCAAACTCCAGCTTCTACTGGCCTCATGGGTATGGGCAGCTAACCGAGGTGAGCGCCCGCTAAGTGTAAACAAACATGTTACTAACATTCTGCTGATTCTAGGAGGGAAAAAGGACGGAGTACCGGATAGGAACCACCCTTAGGGAACGGTACCAAAACTTCCTAGGCAACGCCTACAACATTGACTTCATCGACTCCCGAACAACGAATGTTAACCGCACCAAAATGTCCTTGCAGCTGGTGCTGGCTGGATTATGGCCTCCAACTGGCCAGCAGGTGTTCCTGCCATGGCTCAACTGGCAGCCAATTCCCTACAACTACCTAACAAACGACAAGGTAGCATTGGGCAGACTTTAAACCACTTCTCCAGTATTCGATTAACTTTTTATAGGAACTCAGTGGAACCAGCGTTTGCAGCAACTACGATACCTTAGTGGACGAAGTGGAAAACTCCGATGAGATCCAAGAACTTTTGTCTGTATATGATGAAATCTTTGAGTACATCTCCAATCAAACTGGGGAGGACTTTAGCACTCCCGATGACATGTTCAGTTTGTACTTCGAATCAGTTGCTCAGGTAGACTTAATTTACTACTCAAAAAAGCGCGGAAATAATTTAAAGTGTTTCAGGTCGAATACGGGTATCCAGTGGAAGAATGGTTGGAGGAAGTGTTTCCGGACGATTTGGAGAAAATCACCAAAGATGTCTACTACATTGGCACCAACACAACGGCTCTGAAGCGAATTGCAGGAGGTAATTATAGGTATATATTATCTTAAGAGTCAATTATCTGCAGTTTTTCATAGATAATTGCGGCTTGTGGATTTACACATTAACAGTTTTATTTCTAAGTTGAATGGATAAATCTGTTCTGAATGATGTTTACAGCTTTTTACAACTGTCCATTGTGTAAAACATGTTCTTTTATTGCTCTTAATGCAAGCAAATATGTTTTCGCTATCACCGTTCTTCTACGTCCATTGAATGCTCATACCACAGTAGGTCTGAGTAACACTGTGTTGAGCTGCGCTTTTGAGTTGGTACCGCTCTCTGAGTTAATGAGTTTTAACTCATTGGTTAATGGCTTATAACTCATGGCCGATGACGGAATTTTAACATCTAACAAGAAAAATCCATCAACATATTGTTTTTGCGCATGCGATTGCTTGAAACTATTTGGTCTAAAACGGCAAAATCCGGAAATTTTGAGGTAACTTTAAAAATTTTCAGAGCGACGAGAGTGACGAGTTTTTCAAATATTGATTTGATGCTTTTGCTTTTTCTGGTCGTTTTTTGAGGAAAATTTGTTGAAAAAAACAAGAAAACTGTGTTTCGATTTTGTCCCAAATTCAAAGGTAAAACGCTTATTCGAAAAAGACGATAAAGAAGACCAAACTGTAAATTCGATTACTTTTTTTGTAAAATCCATCTTTTCTTTCTTTTTACATAACAGACTCTCAGTTTGCCAGTATTTTACAGTGAAAAGTTAGGAAAAACGCGTTGTTATGTTTAGAGAGAGTTTTGTTTAGAAATATTGACCTAAAAGTGAAGAAACCGGAATTTAAATAAACCAAATYATTCACAGCGACAAAAGTGACGAGTTTTCCGAATAATTGTTTATAAACTTTCACTTATTCTGATCGGGGAAATATTTTTGGAACAACATCTAGAATCGATAAAGCTGTTCAGGAATCGAGTGTATTTAGATAGAATTTATTTAATAATTTTAGTAGAAAATACCTGAAGATTGTCTGTTTTTTAAGTAAAACTAAAAATAATACATTTTTTGCGTAGCAAGAATTGCTTAATAGAAACTTTGCTATTTTCCGATTATATTTGTTTGCTCTCTGGTCGTTTTTTAAAGATCTTAATTACTTTCGGTGAAAAACTGAATAAAATTATTTGGTTTTTGTGCCAAATTCGGAGCTGAAAAGAGTTTTCTAAAGTTCTCTGCAAATCGATGAATGAGGTCAATTTTCCAGCATTCGTCATTGTTGGCGGCAAAGACCCCATTCAGAAAAGAATAAAATCCTCAGAAAACTATACTTTTTGCGTTTTTGATTAAAAATTTTTAGTTTTGTAATCGATTTTTGCGGAAACCTTAATAGTTTTCGGGTAAACATGGAAAAATCTATTTTCGTTTTTGTCCCGACTTCGACTCCTACAAATCCTCCTCCTGAAAATCCTACAAAGCTATAAATATATCTTGTAATTTTTCGCGTAAAATACATCCAGATCGTCAGTATTTTTAAGTAAAACTCTACAAAATAGAACGTTTTGGGCAGAAAGCACAGAAAAAAAAATCAGTCAAAACTCAAAAACCACATTTTGTTAACAAACTTTACAGTCAATGCAAGCAATGAGTTTTCCAAATAATTTATTATAAAATTATTTGATTTCAGTGCTAAATTCAAAGCAGGAAATGGATTTCAAAACTTTTTACAAAGCGACGAAGATTTCAAAATTTATTTCATAATTTTTGGCGGAAAATATCTTAAAATTCTCAGCACTTTTAAGTGAAACTTTTGAGCATTTAGAAGAAAGAGTATCTTGGCTAAAACTGGAAAATTCTGAAATTTGAAGATATTTTAAAAACGTTATTAATAACTGGCCTTTAAAATAAATCTAAAAAAGGACATCATCATTTTTTCCCTCCAAGGAACTGAGTTACTGCGCTAGTGCGTTGGGTGGGCGCACCAAGCCATTTGCGTAGCACTACGCCAACTCCTAAAAATTCATTGAGTTATCCAGGCCTATATTACAGACAAGAAAGCAACTATTTTTCATTTTTTTTTAACTGTCTTTCTTGAACGCATATCTGTATAATCGGCTGCCAACAAAGGATATATTCTTCAGTAACGCACATATTCCTTCTTTTCATGCGTATTTGAAGGTTGCACAAGACCTGATTCGATACTTCTTCTGCTAATACCATAAATATGTTGTCTGAATAGTTTCTCGTTTTCTCGCCTTTTAAATAAGTTATATAGAGTCTTCATCCGACTTAGCTAAATGCCAGATTCTTTTTAAAAGAAAGTGGCGCATTATAGAACAGCGCAAAAGAACCTGACCGATTACTTCAAATGCGCCGGAATATCAAGGCTGCACTCCACTTGATTGTATTTCCGACGCGTTGAAAGTATGAATCTGTAATCAAGCCCTTAACAACCATTCTGATTATCCGCAGGCTTTCTGCTGAGAAAAATCATCAACGACTCCAAGGCCAAAATCGATGGGCTGCTCACTCCCGAGAATAGAAAAATGTTCTTGTACTCCGCCCACGAAAGAAATGTTGCCAACCTCCTCATTACCCTTGGAGTTTATGGGGATGAAATCCCCACCTACGGCTCCCATGTCATAGTGGAGTTGCATAACATTACAAACGTGTACGGATTCAAGGTACGCATCAGCTGATTATTCAAAGCTTTGACGGACTTAAAACCTCAAATTTGCAATTGCTTGCAGGTTCTTTATCAAGACTGGACAACCTCCCAACCCCAACTTTTAACTATCCCTGGTTGCGCAGCTTTCTGTCCATACGACGAGTTCGTTGAGCTACTCGCAGAGGTAATTGCTGATGAAGACGACTGCGAAACATCGTAATTACGTGCTTAATAAGGCGGCAATAAAAACGCATTGAAAGTTTGATAGGATTTATGTATTTATTTAGCACCAATGACAAAGTTATCGTAAATCTTCAGCAATTCTGGCGGCGTTCGAGGTGGCGCCAGCTTTAGAGCCATCTCGAAGTGCTCCATTCGGACGCATTTGCTTTGGATGTCTTCGCTTAGGGCGAACATCGCCGCTTCTTTGCAAATGCCCGTGATTTCCGCGCCGGAGTAGCCTTGCGTTGCTTCTACCAGCATTTCAACGGACACGCCTTCAGTCTGAAATAAATCTATGAATTTCTGTTATTCTGGGAGACACTGTAGGACTTACCGGCATTTTGAGAAACTGGATTCTGAAAATATCCCGTCTAACATCGGCGTCTGGCAATGCCACGTAAACAGCCCTGTCTATCCTGCCAGGGCGAATTAGGGCTTTGTCGATCCGATCAGGTCGGTTAGTGGCTGCTAAAATGTTAACATCAGCTAGCGGAGTGATTCCATCTAGCTCAGTCAGAAGCTGGGCCAAAACGCGCTCTTGGACACTAGTAGTCGCATCTATAACATTTTTTCTTGTTTTGAAAGCATTTTTCTAGACATCGAACCCAAATATAACATTATAACAGTAATTTTTCCCCTCAAATAAAAACCCGCGTATTTTTGCAACTCAATTTGACAAAATCCCATTCATAATCACACAGAGTTAGTTCTACCCAAATTAAGTTCCATTTTACTCACCAGAGCTTCTTTCGCCTGCGAGAGCGTCAATTTCGTCGAAAAACACCACAGAAGGGGCAACTTGTCGCGCTTTCCTAAAGACGTCCCTAATCGCTTTTTCGGACTCTCCCACCCATTTACTAAATAATTCTGATCCTACAAGTCAAATAACTCTGGCTAGCAGCAGATTAGAGCGCAGTGTCACGGACTACCTTTTATGGTAATGAAATTTAGGCCGCTTTCCGTTGCTAGAGCCTTCGCAATCATAGTTTTAGAGCAACCGGGAGGGCCAAACATTAGAACTCCCTTAGGCGGCGAGATTCCCAATCTTTTAAAGCTCTCCGGGTACTTTAAAGGCCACTCTACCGACTGGCTTAACAAGGCCTTCATCTTACTGTGTCCGCCGATGTCTGTCCATTTCACATTGGGTGTCTGCAAAAAGGTGAAAACTTTGCAGATTTTCCAATAAAAGTGGATGAGAGTCCATTACCTCAATCTGAACCTCACGCATCGCACTCGGCCGGACTTTTCTCAGCGCCGCCTTCAGGTCATCCAAATCTATTTTCGGGACTGACCGTCTCGAGCTGAGCAAACTGGCTTGAGAGCAGACAGATACCAGATCAGCGCCCACGTATCCGTGCGCAGTCATCGCAATTTCCTGTAGTTCGGCCTCAGAAACCTTCTGAGACATGGCGGAGAGTATTTTGCGCAGAATGAGTTTTCGCGCTTTGGGGTTTGGAGTTGGGATTTCGATTTCCCGGTCCAGTCTGCCGCATCTTCGGAACGCCGGCTCAATCTGATCAATCTTGTTGGTGGTTGCGATAATGAAGACTTTGGCTGCGATTTGCGATAGTTCATCCATGCGAGCCAGCATTGTGGAAATGATGCGCTTCTCAGCCTCAACTATCCGACCTGAATAAAAACAGCAAAAATATTTGGTAAAATGTACAATAGATCSAAAAAATAGCATTGTATTWTGTCGGTCAAAGTTTATTATTTATAGATAAGTTCTATATTGTTGAGGCGGATTCATTTTTACAAACTTCTTTTTGGGTATTATATTATATATTGTATTTATTATTTATATTTTTAATATGTCTGCGGGTATCGGGGCAACATCGGGCAGCTCAGACAGCCAAAAAGTATACAGTTAAAGSCTCATATTTTCTGAGTAATTCGAATTTTTAATAGACCTTGAGTCACMCAAAAAGAAGTTAGGATTTATTTAATTTAAGCTTTGYGTTAAATTTGCGATGCRGTGTTTAAGCGACTTTTTCTTACCATTTCTCGAAGGACACAAAATATCAATTTCRTCCAAAAGAATTACACTTGGTGACTTATCTATGGCGCTCTTGAACAATTTATTGACGGTTTCTTCGGGGCTTTTGGAATTTTTACTGTACAAATATGTGGCAGATATTTCCACCACATTGACTCGAAGAGTGTGTGCAATAAATTTGGCCAGTGTAGTTTTACCAGTTCCGGTGTTACCATATAAAAGTACAGACTTGTTGTGCATGAAGCCGTTCGTACTGGAGGATTTAAATGCGGCATTGATCAATTCCCTAATTTCCCTCGTTTCCTCATCCAATCCTGCAACCTGATAGTGGGCTTCCGTTCGAGTAGATTCAACAAAGGCTATTTCTGTGCTGAAAGTTTAATAGGTTTTCATCAGCCGAGTCTAAGCAAAAATGCGTGAACTTACCCAAATATCTTCCACTTCGTTTTGTCATCAACTAAATAGAACTTTCTGTGGGCACCTACAGAAAGGCCCTCAAGCATTTGGCAAATATTGCTTTGTTCAATTAGTTTTACCTCAAACTGAAGCTTCGTTCCATAAAACATTAGATGGATTATGCTGTTGTTCGTAACGTATCTATCTTCGTAGGTTTTGCAAATGCGGCTATTCAGCTCAGGGCCGATTTCCATCGATTTGGGCCCATTCAGCAAAACCACCGACACTTGGCTAGCCACTGAAGCTGCTGATTTATCAAACGTTCTCACCCTGAGCTTATCATTTACCTCAAATTTCGAATTCTCCAAACCTGCAAGTTTAAACGTTAGCGTACTGCAAGGTGGATTAACGGGGAATTAGTGAATACCATTTTTAGTCACCATGACTGAAGTGAGGCTTTTTCCGGCGGTGGGCCACACTTTCCTGACTAGAGGGGCTGCCTTTTGTGCCAACTGCTCCACCATCACAAATTCCCCGATTGGAAAGCCACAAAGCTGCATAGCGGCTTGACTAAGGAACACCAAACCGTCCTTCTCTCGGGAACTCAGATTTTTTATGTCTTCAGACTGTTTCAGCTCCAGAACCCCATAGAGCACCTGATCCAGTATAAATGGATGCTCAAAATCATCCAACTTCTGTGGGCAAAACTCCTCATGATGCGACATATGTTTGCTGGTTAAGTAGGCTGCACATTTTTCACACTGGACCCACTGGGAGCCCCTTTTGGACTTTGTTTGGGACATGTTTATGCACGTTGTCTTCAACCACCGAATCTAATAATAATATAACTGAATATAACCTAATTTGACCCAAAGCGACAGGAAGAATGACAATCGAAAAGAACACTGTAAAATGTTCCGTTCGTTAGATGCTGAGATCGCATGTTGCCTGTTGTTTAATCCGGTATGACCCACAGATGGCACGGATGAAACTCCGCAAATCTCTGTTGGATTTAAAAAATAGCTTTCAATTTTGTTGAACAAATTTATTTAGAATCTTCCTTAAGAGGCGTAAATTTTGCACATATTGAAATTGTAGAAATTATTTTCGTTTATAAATCCTTCATAGAAATGGTAACAATTTTTTTAATATTCGCAAATAATGTTTTTAAGAAACACATTTTCAAAGCAACATCAGTTTACAGGGTGCTTCAAAATTAATTGTTATTAAAAACTGAGAAATTTGCAGAAAACTATATCAGAAGGATGGCAACAAATATTGAAAACTTCGGTAACCATAGAAAAATAGAGAAAGTGGCACTAAAATAGATAAGCATAAATGGAAAAAAAATGTAGAGATCTACTTTTTTCGAAATGTTAAATTATCAAAGAGAAATTGCTCTTTGTAGTCATCATAACCGCAAATTTATGTCCATACAAATAAACATACAGTTCTGTCTTTAACTCCAAACAAGTTAATGCCTGTATGCCAAGTGCCACCTTATTGTGCCACTCTTCTCGAGCAGCTTCTCGTGTTCGGTTAATTAACGTCTGCTCAGTTTGAACCGGTGTTCATAAACCATTGGTTTAATGTGTCTTTGTGTTATATGTATCATATATATGTGGTAGGAATGTAGCTCTTCCTCGGTATCTATTTGGTGCCTGGAAAGTGTCAAAGCTCTGGCTACCCCTGAAAAGCTCTGCTACAATTATCTCCAATACATATTCCTGTGTGTCTGGAACCCGAACATCTATTGTCGTCCACTATCTTCCTGAACCCAATCGTCCAGTATGTCGGGACCCTTTTTGGCGTCAGTTCTTACAGCTTCTGATATGTTAATGCGGCATTTCCCCAAAACTAATCGCATATAAGTGTTCCAATAGGCCAATTCCAATACGAATTAAAGGTTGGACAATTTAAACATAATGGTTAATAACAAAGTTAACATTCGATTTTCAACTCATAATATCTTCTAAAAACTGTTTTCAGAATTTTTCTTGTACTCTCCAACTAAGCCCCTATTACCCCCTAAAAGAAATGACGCCTATTTTGAATAACCCGGTATATGTAAATCGAGTCATCAATCTTAACCCAGTTGAAATGAAAATCGCGCTTGTTTAACGTTAATTACCGGACAATCTCGATAATGGTCCAGACTTAACCAGCCTTAACAAAATGTTCGAGCCTTTTACAAGCAACTCACGTAGAAACGATAAATAATTCAGACCAAAAACCTCTCTAAAAATAAATCTGACCAGTACGAATTGCACGAATTACAGTCGATCTACCGTAATTGCATAATTGGCCAGATCAGATTAAAATAATTGTGTTGGAGGCGATGGCAAATGGAGTATCGGGTAAATTGGGTTTATACACCCTGAAAAGCGAATTATTTGAAGCTTGATGGATGATTGTTGAATATATCCAACTCAAAGAAATCTTCTGAACGCCTGTGTTTGCAAAAATCATAAAAAAGTGATTTACTTTTTTTGCGCTTCGAAACCACTTAAGTTTGTTTAGAATCGTCAGAGGGCATTTGAACTTTTGGACTCAGCAGCGTGCTTGCATTCATGTCTGATAAATTTGTATAAATAAAAAGTTTTAATTTGTTTTATGCAATGAATTCACTGTTGCTTGGATTATGAAAGAAAAAAATTAAAACATGCAGACGCCTTAAAGTGAGACTCTTAGCTACAGTTTTCTTCCCGAGATGAGAGTCTCCTTATCAAATATTTGTTCAAGAAATAACAAAATTTTGAACCTTTAGTTTGGGAAATAGCTAGGAAAACTGTAGGAAAACTAAAGTACTGTTTTGCATTAAAAATATAGTGAATTTAGGTCGAGTATTTAAGTTAAAAAAACAAAAAAAAATTAGTAAACCAAATTACCATAAACGTATTAAAATGTAGATTTTCAATCAAGATGAAACGACAACAAACAAAGAAAACATACTTAATTTAGGGCAAACGGTAAGCAAATCCTGCATGTACCCATCAAGAACGAGCCAACATTTTTTCTTTTCCTTGCCGCTTCCATTGAGCACTTATTATAACCATTTAAGCTTTTTAAAGCAATCAATCAAGCAGCTTCTTGCATTATGCGTAAAAAAGCAGCAACTTACCTTGTAGACATTGCTTACCAGGGCATGACCACCCAACTATTACTTGCAGTCCGTCCTGACGCTATAATTTCCATCTACAGTAATTTCTAAATTCCCCGATAATTACACTGAACTGCATTATTCTTCTTCGAATTAATCGCTATGACCGGAAAAACGTCATTATTCCTGCAATTGGCCTGCATTTCGAATCTCGGCACAAAGTCTCGATTTAGTCATTGTGTTGGTACGGCAAAAGTACGCCAATTTTTCCCGTAGTCAACGTGACTCTGCAATCACGAAAGCGAATCAGTTTTCATGATTTCATGATGAATTGTAGTCGTGAGACTTCAGGTCCTTGAAATAAAGCGCATTCGATGTGGTGAAGACATTCAGATATTCGAAGAAATTGCATTTGAAAGTTAAAGTTTTTGGTAAGAAGCGTAAGGTCCATTCAAAACGGTGGTTGAAACGAAGTGTCTAATTTACAATAAGAAAGTTTCACTTGACAAACCAATGAAATTTTATCTAATTTGACTCCAAATTGAAGCTTCTATACGTTAGATTTTTGTTAATTTACTACAATTTGACTCCAAATTGCTCAAATGCAAGGGACTGAAAATCTATTTAAAGTTCGAAAAACCCGTGAAGTACAGTGTTTGAATCTGATTTTAAAAAAGGAGAAAGTAAGAACTTTTTACGAACTCACTTCGATTCTTTAAATGGTGGAGCAAAATTATATTTCTAATACAAAAAGTTAATAAAAAAGACATTTAACATGGTGAACTTGAACTACAGCTGATTCGCTACAGCTAAATACGAAAAATTTGTCTTTAGTTTCACTAATTCCTGGACTTAGGAAGCGAAAATCTAATAAACCAGATACTTTCCAATAATCATATAACACATTTGTAAGGCATATAAACAAGTCTTCCAATCACTTAAGGCCTGCTAAAACCCCATCATTATCCAGTTCTTTGACCTATGGCCCAATTTTCGGCTTTTTCCTGCTCCCAAGCCCCCAAAGAAATCCGACTTAAGGCATTTGTAAAGCCTCGAACTTCTTTGTGTTGAAGCTAGATGCACGTGCAAGCTCACCAAAAAATCTATTTGCTTTTTATATTTGATTGCAAGTATAAAGTCGAGATTATCTCAGTGATATTTGCTTTGTGCTCAACCATAATCAGATGCAGCCTTGTTCAAGTGATGCACCTGGAAAATTATGTTTTCTATACAGGGTGTACCAGGTATTGATTTTCACGAGATATCAATTTCACGCCCACTAGTTCAGCTAAAATTGAAAGATTATAAAAGAACAATTTCCAGACCGAAGGCGAAAAAATGATAAAGGAGAATCTGTGGTAGAAATCGCAAAGTTGCGTCAGGAAGGGAAATCATTTGCAATAAGAAAGATAACAGCAAAGAAACTAATTAATTGGAAAGTATCTCCGCGTTATAGCTAGGGAGAGAGGAACGAGGCGGAAGTTATCCAAAAACAGACAAGGTGGTTAAAAATTGGCGTCATTCCTCTGGAGGTGTTGTCTGGCGGTGTTTTAGGAGTACAGAAAAATAGTAACAAAAATTAGTTGTTATTAAAAACTGATCATTTTACAAAAAACTATGTTAGAAAAGCGGCGACAATTAACATTACGTAAATACCTGTTGCTTCGTAATTATTTAAAACTCCGGTAACCATGGATAAATAGAGAAAGTGACAATAAGATAGAYAAGGATAAACGGTTAATTCAACRGGAACCGTTGAATGACGGAACCTATTTCGAAACCCATAACCTCGAATTATTCATTTCTTTACAATTTACAAAAACATACATTTGAGTCTGTAACTCCAAACAAGTGCCTSTGTAATCACCTTATTATGCACTCTTCTCGATCAACTTCTCGTATTCGGTTAATTAACTCCTGCTCAATGTATACCGGTGTTCAGTAATCCATTGGGTTAATGTRATCTTAGATACGTGGTAGGAATGTAGCCAGCATTTATTTGGTGCTTGGGAAAGTGTCAGTTATTGTGCTCTGAGTRCCCCTGGAAGGCCCTGATTCGATTATRTCCAATACTTGTTCGTCTGTGTCTGGAACCCGAACATCAATTGTCGTCCACTATCTTCCTGGAACCACTCTCTTCGCCCTTTGTTGGCGTGAGTTCTTTCAGCTTCTGCTATGTATTCTGCTATAGATATCCGCAAATTCGTGAAAGGAAATCCAAACTAAGTCACAGTTTGACAAATTATTGTCATTATTGACAAGGGCTATCCACCTGTAACTATCTCTTAATGACAAAAAACATCAATGCCGCTTTGACTTTTCATCAAAAAATTGTAGAAGAGAACTTTTTTAATATCAAAATTTTTCGTAATTTGAAACAAAGATCGTAATTTGTCTTTTTAAATGCTTAAGTATTCTAATATGCTTCCAATTAAACATGGAACACTTTGAAAATAATGCTTAATAACAAAGTTGAAATTCGATTTTCAACTGTTAATATCTTCTAGAAATTATCGAAAAAAAAACTTCACTATTTTTCTCGTACCTTCCAAGAGAGCCCCTATTACCCCTTAAAAGGAATGACGCCAATTTTGAATCACCCCGTTTAAAGCAAACCACCTATAGATATAAATAGAACATTGGACGAGAAATGGACAGGAACAAAGAAGAAAGTTAACATTACAAGTAGAGTCTGCGATTTAATTTATTTATGTCTTTCTACTGTAACTTAAAAGTGTATAACTAGACAAGTTAAAATTTGGCTTCTTCTGCAGTGTCTACGTTTTTGTTCGCCTAATTGCTCCCAGAGCATCTTTTTCAACCCAGTACTGAAGAAAAACGATTACACACAAGCAATTATTTCAAT